TTAAACTAAAATGAAATTCAAAATCAGTTACCTTTTTTTTATTTTTAAATGGCCCTAATCCTCTTCCGTACATCCCTAACAGACCCGCATGAACAACCAACTCGCCCGCATCATCCCCGCGCGCGCTCCCTCCTCCTCGCGCCGCGCTCGCGCTGTCATGGTCGCCTCCACTTACCGAGCTTTCCCCGGGACTCCTCCAGCTTCTGGATCTGGTTCTCCAGGAAGAACATGGCCACTGCGAAGGCGAGCAGCGCCAGCAGCTGCAACTTGGGCGGCATCATGACTCTGAGCAGCCCCATCAAATCATCCAGGAAGGGGGGGTTCGGTCACTCCATCCTCCGAAGGAGAGAAAAGACCGAAACAGGCTTTAATCAGGGGCTGAGAGCATGGCCCTCTGGTACTCGCTGTGATTATCCTCCAGTCACCTCCAGAGGCAGATCCCCAGATTTAATTCATCGCTGCGGGTTGTAAATCGCCACAGAGCCCCGCTGGTTTCAGCAGAAAGCGGATCGGAACCAGACTGGTACCAGTGTCCCCTGTCCCACCGAGTGTGGCTCCCACCGCACCGCGGACACATCCACTGTTTGCCACCCAGACCATTGGATGTAGAATCAGTCCAGCAGCCAGCACAGGCTTTCTATTCGTCCACTTTTACTGCCTATTCAATCCGGATTGGACAGTTTCATTTCATTTACCCCGACCAGACAGCAGGGGTCGCCCTTCATTCAAAACCCTGGAAATCCGTAAAGACAAAGAAGATAATTTTTAGTTGGCCTTAGCTAACGCCAGACTAAAAACATATATATTATGTTTTTTATTTTTGTTCTTGTAAATAAGAAAAAATAAAAACGGATTTTTTACAAGTTATGATACTGATGTTTGAGCAACAGTCAATAAAATTGCGAGACAAATCTACTATTAATACTCGATATAAGACAGGCCAATGTAGCTTTCCTTGAGTAAACCGATAAAGGACCGCTGTAGCAGTTTCGCTCATAAAGCAGGGAGCAAAATGTCGGGAGAGGTTTACCTGCTGTGGCTGCTGTCGCTGCTCCAGACGGTGAGTTTATTAACGTAGAGAGAGTGGGCGATACCCACGCAGAGTGGGGTCTGTAACAGTCCGGGGGCGGGTGGGGAGCTTATCCCGGCTCCGGGGATCCGATAAGAAAACCGCATCCTGTTGTTCCTGGAGCCGCTGCGTGACGTGGCTCTTCCTCTGCACCGCCGCGAGACAACAGCAGTCATTGAACCGATTGGTTTGAAGTAAATCCGGATGATGTTGTTACCAGAAACCAGCTGAAAAGTTCACTTATAGATTTCTGACGAGGTTTGCGAGAGCCTACGTCACTGAATTTGGACTTCCGGTTTTGTAAATCCGCTCAATCTGTACCTTGCTGGTCCAGGCTGATCCTGAATTAGATTTTAAAATGATAATTCCTGTTACAGGTGATGTGGATGACATCAGCAGGAGGGTTAACCAGGCTCCAGGTTTTATGATTTTATGGGATGTCAACATAAAAACAGCTGAAAGTGAAAACAAATAATAAAAAGAATTAAACTTTATTGATCTCAGATTGGGGGACATTCACCTTGCATTTAACCCCTCCCCTTGGGCAGCAGTGGGCTGCCATTGTGCGGCGCATAGGGGGCGGTGTGGGGTTACGGGTCTTTGCTCAGAGACCCAGAGTGGCAGACTGTGGAAGTGGGTTTTGAACTCACAACCTCTGGATTTTAAGCCCTAACCCAGGGGTCTTCAAGGTTTTCCAGGCCAAGGACCCCAAACTGATGGTTAGATGGGGGACCCTCTAATTATATATATTGTATAAAATAGTGTTCTATCAAACTGGTCCTATAGTCACTCTATTACAGATGGAGTAATGTAACTAAAGTAATCCCTCCCTGGGATTATTAAAGTATTTCTGATTCCTGGTTGATGGGACAGGTGTTGTGAATGAAACGGTGTCCAGCTTGAAAGAGCTCCTGTGTGTCTCTGAATGTGAGCATTGATGACTGAAAGACATCTTCTGCCTCCATTTATCTGTTTACTACAGTCTGTTGGATTCATGTTCATGTGGATTTAAAGACGTTTTAATTAGTGGAGAAAATTGCAGGAGGGAATATAAAAAAAAAAAAACTAATTAACCAAAGCTTTGGCGACCCCCATGCAGTACCTCTGTGGACCCCCTAGGGGTCGCAGACCCCCTGCTGAAGACCTCCCCCCTAACCACTAGGCCACCACTCCCCAACTCTCTCTAAATCCACCCTGAAGATGAAGAATCTAAACCAGGCTTACAAACATTATCATCTTTATCATTAATTTTACCTTTCTCCTGATTATGATTGAAATATACTCGGACAGAATATGTGACAAATTTGATCATTTATTGTGAGCGGATATTTACAAAATGGTGTTTTTTGCTCGCAACAATAATGGGACAATAATGGAACAAAGTTCACTCCATACTCCTTCCAATGGATGAAAACCTGTCAAATTGTCCTTTTTTCCCAACATTGTAAAAGTTGGTTGAAAATTCTGATGATGTTTGGATAGAAAGAAGGATACCGACAGATTCAGAGCAGAAGAAAACTAAAATAATTCATAATTGGTGTAAAAACTCGACTGATTGAGGTGTTACAGTGGTCTAGTCAAAGCCCAGACCTCTTCCTGGCGGGGAATCCCATCAGATCTGAGCAGAAACTTTTCTCCAACCTGAATGTACTGACTTTAAAAGACTGAAAGCTAAAACACTACAGAAAATATAATTTAAGAAATTTATTTTATGGTTTTTGCAGTGAAGCCGGTAAATTTATGTATTTTTCTTGTGTTGCCGTCATGCTGTCCTTCTAATATAGACTGTTTTATATATTAGATCAGAGTATAGACTTCCATCTCCTGCTTTCCTCTAAACGGCGTCTACTTCCTCTCCTGCAGCTGTCGGCGTACGGAGCCGAGCTGTCGTCTGAGGCTTGCAGGGAGCTGGGATTCTCCAGCAACCTCCTGTGCAGCTCCTGCGACCTGCTGGGGGAGTTCAGCCTGACCAAGCTCCAGCCCATCTGCCGGCAGTGCTGCCAGCAGGAGGCTCAGATGGAGACACGCAAGGTATGTTCTAGAAAACGGTGGCATCGAAAGCAAAGAACACGTTCCTTAAAGGGGATGAAAGACTTCTCAACTAGTGATGGAAACAGCAGTTCTGGTTGAAGGCGAAGGGAGACTTTAGTGACGTTAAGCAACCTAATTCCTCCCAAAAAAGTAAAAAAAAAAAAAACAATCCTCTGGACTTTGTTTCTAAATTTAAAGACATTTCATATTTGGCGGGGGGCTGAATAGGGGGGGCTTCTGTTCCCTTTACAGAAGAACAGAAGACCTCACCTATTCAGCCAGGCCAACAATTCCCTTTAACAACCCCCCTTTCAGAGACATAGACAGGTGTAGGGCATTGCAGGCTAACAAAGAAGCCAAACGAATAAAACAAATAAAAAATCTTCAGAATAAAATCTGCTGTTTTCATGAGATTCAATGTCAGGATTGAGCTGAAGAGGTGAAGAAAATATGATTTGTGAAACAATTTAAAAAGAAGGAAATGTGAGGACGCCATCTTTATTGATAGTTGCATTTTTCTGCAGTTCCCTGCTGCTTAAAGCAGCTGAGTTTGTCCCCCCCCCCCCCCCTGTCAGTGGGTTTGTTGACACTGGCTTCAGATCTGCTCCCTCTGTCTCTCTAACACTCCAGGATGACGAAGCGGATCATAAGCCACCTCTGGTTAAATCACCCCCCCACCCTCCCATGGATAAATAAGGCATATCGGGGGGGGGCATATTCCTTTGTTTTTCCTTTTTTTCTTCCTTTCCTTTCATCAAATCCCCTGGAGTGGATGTGTGGTATCCTAGCAACAGCACCTTCTCAGAAGTGAACACCTCATTACACCTCTTGATGATAACTAAGATGCTTACAGCCAAGATTACTCCTCCTCCTCCTCCTCCTCCTCCTCCTCACAATATGAATTCAAACTGTTGCTTAGAGAAGCAGTTTCCTGTTAATCTTTTTTTGTTAATAAAGTTTTAATGATTTTTAGAACATATTTCTGTACAACCTTCCCCAGCCCTCCACTGAATAAAAACCACAAACAAAACAAAAAAAAAACAAGGTCAGCGCCTATCCAATCAATCAGTTTCACAAATAATTTGCATATAATACAAATATCCTCGATGTTAGCAGAAACGACCGCAAAAGACAGAAATAATCAATCGTCCATACTTTGCAAATCAGTTTATTTCTATAGCACTAATTCACAACAGATCTCAAAGCACTTTGCAGATCATCCAGTCTGGTGAACTGTCCTTATCCCGATATTGCAGGAGAGGAAATACTTCCAGGATTTCTTCAAATGTTCTGTCATCATTCAGCTTAACCAGCATTTGCTCATTATTTCACGATACTTTCCTGATAATCTTGACCGTAGTAGACAGTAGACAGACGCCACGCAGCTTCCAGCTTTATTAGCCAATGGGAAGGGAGCAAAATGCTGATTGTTAGCAAGTCGACCCATGTTAGAAAAAAAACGCTTTATCCCGCTATTTTTCAGTCAAAAAGACGCTTGTATGTCACATTGTTTCTTGGTTCTTTAGATATAGATAAAGCTCAAAGATATGGTTGTGAATTTGAGAAAATACAAATAAATTGAATGACGGAGTAAGAATTAAACGA